ACAGCCCTCTCATGAGGCTCTACGGCCTCGGCGCCACAAACGTGCTCGACGTGCGAATGGTCGACTCGTCGGGAAAAATTCTCGACAAGGACTCTATGGGCCCCGACGTGTTCTGGGCCGTTCGGGGCGGCGGCGGCAGCTTCGGCGTCGTCCTCGCTTGGAAGCTCCGGCTAGTCCCGGTTCCGGAGAATGTCACCGTCTTCACTGTCACAAAAACGATGGAAAACAAGGGGATAGACTTGCTGCACACCTGGCAGACGGCTGCCCCGGCTGCCGATCCGAGACTATTCGTTAGGGTCGTCATGAGTGTCCAGAAAGGAACTGTTCTCAATTCCTACAATGCCATGTTCCTCGGGGACAAGGAAAGCCTCGAGTGCCTAACGAGGAAGAGCTTCCCTGGGCTCAAGCTAAGGTTGAGGGACTGCAAGGAGATGAGTTGGATCGAGGCCGTGGTTTACATTGCGGGTTTCCCACCGGGAACCGAGCCTGATGTCTTGATGAAGGGGAAGCCCACGTTCTTGAGCTATTTTAAGGCGAAATCAGATTTTGTGAACCAGCCCATCACCAAGGACGGGCTCGCGGGCTTGCGGGATGTGCTCGTGAAGGCCCATCCCGGAGGGGAGACCGTGATTTTCACTCCCTTAGGGGGGAAAGTGGCTAACTTGAGCGAGGACGAGCTTCCTTTCTCTCACGGGAAGAACAACTACTTGGTACAATACGTCGCCTGGTGGAATGAAGGCAGCATGGAGAGCCAGATGAAGAACGAGGAATGGGTTAGAACGGTGTACAATTACATGGAGCCTTTCGTCACTAGTTACCCGAGAGAATCGTACGTTAATTACAGGGATCTCGACTTGGGGCGGGACAAGAGTTGCCGGGGAAACTGCACATGCCCGTATTTGTGGGGTGAGAGTTACTTCAAAGGCAACTTTTACAGGCTCATCTCAGCCAAATACCAGGTTGATCAGAAGAATTTTTTCCGAAATGAACAGAGCATTCCGCCTTGGCGCGAGGTGGTGGAGAAGAAGATATGTTATGATCTGATTTGACGGCTGTGATTACAGTTTGTATCGCGTAGCGTTTTTCATGGCTTGTAGTGTTTTATTACAGAAAAAAATAATAATAATAAAATAAAATAAACAACAGTTAAGTAACTAATCTTTCATGCAGCTGAAATTCTCAGGATTTGAGATTTTGTTATCGAGAGACACTGTAGAGCATGGCTTTCTAACAGAAGATCGGCCGGATGGAGTACATCGTATACTTGGGGCACTATTTGAGGTTCTGCCAGACAGAATCATGCAATACAAGAGTTATTTCAAAATAGTATCCAAAACGAGAGTGAGGCTAGCTAGAGGTATAAACTAGCTGAGCTCGAAATCGAGTTGTTGATACTCGAGTTCGAGCTTTTATAGAGCCAAGCTGATAAATGGGTTTGGCTCACTAATATTTAGTTAATAAAACAGTTAGAAAAAGAAGACTTAACAACTAACAAACATCGATCACACAAGCACAGCACAAGCATTTTCAAAATTCACACAAACAAGAAAAACCATACTGTTGCAACCAATTACAAACATGACTGTCACCATGAAATCACACCAGTACACTTACAAACTCCTCACTCAATAGCTTACACACAGACAGACCCCTCAATTATAGAAAACAAACAATCACCCACTAATAAAAAGACACCATGGGAAGATCACAGGCCAAATCACAGAAGAAAAATTAAAAAAATAAAAAATAAAAAATAAAAAATAAAAAGAACCTAACACAGGTAACATCTCAAGCATTAACATCCTCTTCCTCTTCTTCTTCTTCATACTCATCGTCATCGGCCGTGGCATCCTGGTACTGCTGGTACTCAGCCACCAGATCATTCATGTTGCTCTCGGCTTCCGTGAACTCCATCTCGTCCATACCTTCGCCCGTGTACCAATGCAAGAAAGCCTTGCGCCTGAACATGGCCGTGAACTGCTCGCTCACCCGCCGGAACATCTCCTGAATGGAAGTCGAGTTCCCGATAAAAGTCGAAGCCATCTTCAAACCCTTTGGAGGGATGTCGCAAACGCTCGACTTCACGTTGTTCGGGATCCACTCGACAAAGTAGGACGAGTTCTTGTTCTGCACGTTGATCATCTGCTCATCGACCTCTTTCGTGCTCATCTTGCCGCGGAACATGGCCGAGGCGGTCAGGTAGCGGCCGTGTCGAGGGTCGGCAGCACACATCATGTTCTTGGCGTCCCACATCTGCTGAGTTAGCTCAGGGACCGTGAGGGCCCGATACTGCTGGGAGCCTCGTGAGGTGAGGGGGGCGAACCCGACCATGAAGAAGTGGAGGCGGGGGAAGGGGATGAGGTTGACCGCAAGCTTCCGGAGATCGGAGTTCAGCTGACCGGGGAACCGGAGGCAGCATGTGACACCGCTCATGGTGGCAGAGATCAGGTGGTTGAGGTCACCAACTGAAGTACAATCAATCAATCAACAAGCCGTTAAAATCTCACTAAGTGAGGTCAGCATTATGGATCACATATCATGCTCGATCAAAACATATCCTCATTCAAATATAAATATTTTAAATTATTTTTCATTGCTCATTCCAAGTTTTCTTAGGTCTACCCCTCTGCCTTTTAATGTGTGTATTCAATTCTAATGTTTCTACCCTTATCACTGGGGCCTCGAGTCTCTCCTACGCACATGCACAAACCATCTTAATCGTGATTCTCTCATTTTCTCCTCTGAGCGCCACCCCAACTTTATTTCTAATATTTTCATTTCTAATCTTATCTAACTTAGTATGCCCACATAACCATCTTAACATTCTCATCTTTGCCACTCGCATTTTTTGATCATTTTCATATTTAGTAGCCCAACACTGGTCTTTCAAATAGAACTTGTCTTTCAAATTCACCAACTGATATACGATCAGCCCAAATTCGTGTAAATGAAGTGCTCCACCAAATGATGCACAAAAATTGGTATTTTTTAGAATCAACAATCTTTAGTTTATTAGTTTTTGCATGTTTTCAATTTTTTATTTATTTATTTTTTCATTTTGCAGTCAGGATAGGAGTGTGCCTCTAAAAAACCTCAAGTCATGTTTTATTGCCATATTTGATGATCTTTTTTTTTTTTTCATATTTGATAATCTAAGTACAGGGAAATGTACTTACAGGTAGGAGTAGCAAGCTTGAGAGTACGGAAGCAGATGTCATAGAGAGCCTCATTATCGAGAACCATGCACTCGTCGGCATTCTCGACTAGCTGATGGACAGAGAGAGTGGCATTGTACGGCTCGACAACGGTGTCGGACACCTTGGGCGAGGGGAAGACTGAAAATGTCAACATCATGCGGTCTGGATACTCCTCTCTGATCTTGGAAATTAGAAGGGTGCCCATACCAGATCCAGTGCCCCCACCCAAAGAGTGACAGACTTGAAATCCTGTCAATGGAATTATACAGAATCATTATTATTTCAATCTGGTAGAAGTAACGTGTCGCAGGATGAAATTGGCTGAAGTTTATCCAAGTTATCCACATTGCAATGACTTTTGTTCTTCAATGAAGGACAATATCATGTAAAGGCAAGATAATAGTGTAAAAGGTTGTTGCATAAAGCAACTTGAGAGGAAGCAGATTGAAAACATAAGGTAGTAGGGAAAAGTTTGAACGGTTGATCACGCATACATACTTACATGGGTATGTGTTGATCTAATGTTAAAAGACCCGGTCACAGATAAGCACAAACTTATCAGGTAGCGGATGAAGAATGGTTAATGTACCACTAAAACAAAAGCTACACATATGCTTATGGCAGAAAACAAGCAACACAACCAGCAAATCACCACTGTGGTTCAGAAATAAGGACCCAATGATCAGACAACCAACCAAACAGACAGACAATACTAACAATCATGAACCAGGGCAATTATAGTACATCAAGCTCAGAACAATCAGTGATAAACAAAGCAATCAACATGGCATCTAAAACAGAGGCTACAGAGCACATAACAATCCCAAAGGGGAAAATTACGCCCACACAACCACGGCCCTGCAACACCAACAACAGATCTAACCCAACAATCACCAGATCCAAACAAACAAAACCCATATCACAACAGAAAAAAACAATTCAATTACCTTGCAAACAGTCACAGTTCTCGGCCTCCTTGCGAACAACATCGAGCACGGAATCGATCAACTCAGCTCCCTCCGTATAATGCCCCTTGGCCCAATTATTCCCGGCGCCGGACTGCCCGAACACGAAATTGTCAGGCCTGAAGATCTGCCCGAACGGACCGGATCTGACGGAGTCCATGGTCCCCGGCTCGAGGTCCATGAGGACGGCGCGTGGGACGTACCTCCCGCCGCTGGCCTCGTTGTAGTAGACGTTGATGCGCTCGAGCTGGAGATCGGAGTCGCCGCTGTATCTCCCGGTGCTGTCGACGCCGTGCTCATCGCAGATCACTTCCCAGAACTTGGCGCCGATCTGGTTGCCGCATTGGCCGCCCTGGATGTGCAAGATCTCCCTCATTTTTCCTCGAGCGGGTTACACGTCTCGGCCCTTCCTTGATCGGAGAACTTAATTGACGGGCTTCGATTAGATCTTTGTTCTTTTGGATGCTTTTTTCTTGTGGTTGCGGAGAGTGGACGAGAGGAAATGGAGGGAGATAAGAGGGTGGCTAAAAATGGCGTCATCAAGTTGTTTTTGTATGGCGAGTTTATATATATATGTGATTTTGTGAATTGAGGCTCGGAGTTTGCATGAATTTCGGTAATGCCACTAGATTTTTCGAGGGGTCCCTATTCTTGTTCCATCTTTCACTTATACAAGTT